GGCACCCGGGGTAGCGCACAGGGTGCGTCAGCCCCCCTTGGCCTGTGCGCCGAGGGGTGTGCCTCCGCCGGGCGAGGTGGACGCCGGACCGTGGTACGAGGAGGAGCCGCACGCGACGCGGGTGCGCGCGCTGGGGCTGCCGAGGTCGGCCCCGGACATCTGCAGCGCCATGTCGATGGCGGCGTGCACCGCGCTGGCGCCCTCCGCCTGCAGGTTGACGCACCAGTCGCCGCTCTTGCTCGGCAGGTGCGGCCCGAGCGCGGCGAGGAACTGTTCCAGCTGCAGTGGCACGCCCGTGGAGGTGTGCACCGAGAGCGACTCGGCCGGCTCACCCCGGCGAAGCGCCTCCATCGCACGAACCTCCAGCTCGAAGCCGGGCCGCAGCAGCTCCGCCAGGTTGGGACCAGAGAGCACTTCGGAGCACGCGCCGCCGAGCACGCGAACCTCGCCATCGGTCCGCGCGAAGCGGAAGCCATTCTTGGCCTTGACGGGCGGCAGGTTCTTCCCCAGCGCGTACCGCCCGGCGAACCTGCCGTTGTCGTACCCGGCGGCGGCGGAGGCGGCCGCGCTGGCCGCGGCTGTGCTGGCGCTGGCCGCCGGCGCAGAGGCCACGCGGAAAGCGCCGCCGACGAGGCTCCTCCCGCCGGGAGCGAGGGCGGAAGCCGGGTTGGTGGCGCACGCCAGCGCCGTCAGCCGCACCATCGCCCTCAAGCTCATCGCCCACAGCTGGCCTGGCCGCACGATTTTCGATGAAGGTCGACAAGAACGCTAGAAATCGCTAACTTCCCTGTGCGGGCGGGGTGCGCACTGTGCCTCTGTGTTCGGTCGCCCATCTCTCCTGGAGGTACTGCTCTATTTATGCTGCAACCCTCTCCGCGCCGTGCCCCCTCCCCCTCGCTTTTGAGAGGAGATAGATTTTTAGCAATCTTACCTTAAAGAGAGGTAGGTTACATCCGTTAGCGGGAGATCGGCGGGAGCTGCGGACGTTTCGAATTCGGCGAGTGCTGCGGACGTTCGAATTTGTCGACGGACCGTTTCAGCTCTCAGGTCTCTGCGCTCCCGTAAGCCGTATGTGAGCGAGGCACCGAGGCTGCCATAGATGGGCCCAGGTAG